ATCATTTTCAAATTTTTAATTTCGAAATTTTCCTTTGCCCTGTTTTCGTCATCCACCCATCCCTCAGTCCCCACTTTCACCGATTTCTGTAACACTGCAACTGCAAGAAAGAATAAATCGGCCTCATCTCCGAAAAAAGTTACCATGCTTCAGAGAACGAACAAGCAGTAACGACTGGAATCATTTTTAATAGCAGAAGGAACCTTCTCCTGTGCGATGGAATTTTCCTCAGGTGATTTTTCGACAGCATTTCCAGTCCTTCCAAATGAGTTAAGCCACCGGATTTCTCAAAAAAGTCGACGAATGTTAAACCACGCTTCGTGACGCAGCTGTTGTTTTCAGGCTCCGGCTGGTCCGTGTGACTTTCGCGCAGTTCTCTCAGAACTTCTGACAAGTTTTGTCCTCTTTCGGGCTCGAAAATAAATCGCCTTTTACTGGTTCCCTGAAAATTACCACGTTTACAGGAAAAGTGCACAGAAAGTACCTAGAAATTCAAAATTTTACTAGATAAAGAGTTAAAAATTACCTCCTCGGATACGGTCAATTTTTCAAACGTCTTTTTGCCAAGTGCTTCCAGTACATCAAGCGAGCCTGCGACAACATTCGTCCCAAAACCCGCAAAAAGTTTACCGTATGACGATATACCAACACCTGTTTCCTCATTTTTCTGGAATTGGAACAGATTCAGTAAAAAAAAAGACTGAGAAACGGGCGAAGCATGTTATAAAATGCATCAGTGAAGATCAGCATGCAGCAACTGATTAATTCAAGTTGAATAATTATCAAATCTTCCGCACATGATTTTCCAAGTAGCGCGGAAGAGAACAGTAAGAGCCAATTTTTGGCTGGTTGTAGTTAATTCCTAAATTCATACTAAATTCGATATTCAAGAAACATGAAACTGGCAAAATTCCCACCAATATTTTTTACTCTTCCAATAAAAATTATGTACCCCAAGTTATCCAAGTTAATTAATTACACGCAATTTAGTCCGTAATGGAGGGGAGCTGGAGATGGGTCGGGCCAGTCTGGCGAGGGAAGTGTGACACCAAGTAAAATTTATTTATTAGACCAATATCAAAGAAGATCAAAAAAAAAAA